CTTTTAAGGCGAATGGGAAGAGATGCAAATGGAGAGCATTTTCAGGAAAGCCCTTTAGCTTGATAGTAGAACAAATTTCAAGGAACTCATCAAGGTGTTTATAGGGGTCTTCATTTTTAACCATGAAAGGGTGGAAGCATTTGAATTGTGCTAGATTTGATCTCATATTGGGCTGCCTCGATATTTGGTATCACTATGCAAGAAGGAAATGCATAAGTTGTAGGGATGAAAAGGTCCCTAAGAGTCATAGGTACTACATTTGGAATTTTTGCCCTATCATTATTAATTCCCTCATTCCCGACATTTCCTTCATTTTCGGCCATTGTATTAAATTCAAGTTCAATTTCTCTTATATTTTCAGATTCCCTAAGGTTTATTCTAAGAGTCCTTTCAAGTGAATTTATGTCAATTGGGGCTTCAAGATTTGGTAAAGATAACAACCTACGTCCCAACATCAACAATACATTTCACAACAAACACAACACCTCTTCACCATATCATCCACATACAATGTTCCCTTTCCCTCAATTATCAACAAGACAGAAAAGAAATGGCCACGACAAGGACCGATGCTTTATAAAACAGTAAAACAGGATTAGCCTCGACAAGGGCTTCACAAGTTAAATATCACTAAATTTACCACATGCAAGATATTTACAATTTTGAAACTAGAACTTCAAACAAAAAAAAAAAAAAAAACTTACCTGAAGTCCTCGAGACTTATGATATTTTTAGCTTTCCCTCGGCAAACCTTGAGTCCCTAGAATCTCACAGGAATACTTAAAACACAAATTAATCAAAACCAATAAGAAAATATTCACAAGAACACAATATTAACAATTAAACCAAAGTTAATCCTTGAACCTTGGTTACAAAACCGTTTGCAGTCCCCGGCAATGGCGCCAAAAATTGATCGGTGTCAATTATATCAACCAATTATAATCAACCCTTTCAATAGCACAAATCATTGTAAAATAGGGCTATCGTAGGGGTAAGTTGAACCACAAGGACTGCTAGTTTATGGCAACCAAGGTCTTTAAAATCACTTTTAGCTTGATGATAGAGGTGTAAGGTTTTGTTTGGTTTATCACTTGGTACTTAGAATTAAAGATTGCATAAAACAATAAATTGAAGGAAAATAAGAGGAAAGGAACTTAGGTAGAGAGGACGAGGGAAGTGAATGAACTACCAACCCTATAAACATGCTAACTTATGATTAACTTGGGAAACAAATTAGATATATATGGCAATGATATGTAGCAATTCAAGATTACTACACTACCTTCAAGAATTTCATAGAATCAAGAATTAAGCATTATCCCTCAAAGTTTCACATGCTTGACTACCTAAATTAGAGTGTAGCATCGCATATTCACTAAGTTAGGGACTATCAAACCCCTCAACAACTATGGTGATAGCACATGGAGCCAAGAATCAAGAAAAATCCATCAAAGGGGGACCCTAAGCCATGGACTAACAAGGTTCTCAAATACATGCCAATAAAAACATTTTCACAATCTCATTTCCATTGTCACTATGAAAATGAAAGCAATATAATCATGAGAAGAAATAATCTAAGACAAGATAATTAACTCAAAATGATCATTTATAGACATTTAGGTCCATTACATCAAATGCAAAGCTCTAGATCATGAAAATACCATATACACACTTTATTTCCCAAATTTAAACCAAAACTAGGACATGCTTACAAGGAAGGGCTTCATCACCTCCCTAGAAAGGGAGTTAGTTACCCATGCATGCAAAGGAGGAAGGAGAAGAGATGTCCACACCTTCCATTTTTGCACCTAGAGGCCAAGAATAACACAAACCCTCAAGAACTCAATATTTCTCTCTCTAGAACCCCTTACAATATGAGATATGAATAATACATTGTATCAAGACTCTAATAATCCACCATAGCCTTCCAACCACTCCATTTTCGTGGCCCAAAACTCCTAGAGAAGTGCAGAGCAATCCCTCCAATTAAGGGGATAACATTAGGTGAAATAAAGTGGGCCATGCTCTCTTGTCTGCAGAATGGCGGGTGCCCGCAGCGCAGGGTGGGTGCCCACGCGGTGTTAAGGGAGCTCGAGGGTGGCACTTGGAGGGGGCCAGCGAGGCACGGCGGGGCCCTGCGAATTTGCAAAGTTTCTGTAAAAAATGGCGGGCGCCCGCAAGGCTGCAGAACACCACCTTGCTTCTCTAAGTGATTTTGGCTCGGCCTGATGACGCGGTCCTCCTCCTTAGCGCTTTTGCAGGGATGACCATGAGTTCAATAGATCACAGACTTGGCCAAAATGAAGGTCTTCGGCAACGACATGCTTTGATTCTTTAAGAATTCATCAAAACTGCACTTTTAACTATCTTTGGGGAACCAACTTGAAAGTAAACAAAAACATATAAATGAAGTTAATATATACAATATGATCAACTAATGGACTTAACTACTGCAAATAAGGCGCTTGAATATGCAATATTCGACGCTTATCAAATACATTGTTGCAATCTAGATGTGGCCACAAACATAAACACAATTTGCATGTAAAAGTGTGGACTATCTAATGCAAGTATGAATTGTCTACCTAACCAACAAGAAAACTAAGTGTAGAACGACCCACCAAGACAAAGGCATAATCCATCAATTAATTAACAAATGTATCTAATGAGAGCTCACATCAATCTAAAGAATCATGGAATTTGCAATAATAAGTGTGGAGTACAAATCAAGTATAGATTGTCTACCTACCTACAAATATGAATTAAATTGTAGAACAACCCATCAAGTGTAAGCATAATCCATCAAATTAATTTGCAAACCCATTCAATGAAAATCAGGCTTAGCTATCACTAAATCCTTAATTAATCACACATAGACATGTAACCAACACATAGAATCTAGTGTAGAGATCAATTCCCAAATAATCACGCATAAGACAACATGTAATTAAAATAAAGAATCATTAGGAAGAATTAAATCAATAATCACAAGGCTAACCACTAATCACAATAATATATATAAATTCCAAAAAATAGAAATACAAGGGTTTAGATTACACAAGACTTAGGGCTCATACAAGCCCTAAGTGAAGATTTAGCCCATGGTGGTAGAGGTGGTCAAGGTGTCAACAAGGTCCTCCTCTAAGCATGGCATCATCATCTTCTTCTTCTTCTTCTTTAAAGCTCTTTAGAGAGAGTGTGTGTGGATGTTCTTCAAACCCTTGTGCCTCCACTTCCCCCTCTTCTTCTAACCCTAATCTTTAACCTTTTTAGAGAGAGAAAACTAACTCTTCCGATTAAAAATTAAAACTAGCTATGTAAAATAATGCATATCATTACAAATGGTTCATTTTTCCTTTTATACAAGACCCTTGGAGCCCAAATAGGTCAGAAAATAAGCCTTGAAAATATCTAATCCCGCAGCCCCTTGGTTTATGAAGTTCGAGCCCAAACCGATATTAAAAACTGCTCTCAACACGATCGTTCATAGGTATGGTTCAATCGATTAGAGCTCGATCGATCATAGCTGTGGTTTGATTGATCATAGCATGTCGGTGCATAATGTGGATAAGGACAAAAGCTGAGATATTTATGGGGATAAGGACAAAAATAGTTATGAGGATAAGATCAAAAGGTTTGATCGTTCAGAGCAGGAAATTTTCAGCATAGCCTCCTTTTGCTCCAGTTTCTCACCAAGACTCAGTTTGACTCCAAAAAGGCCTTAATGGACCAAAATTAGCCAGTTTGTTCCTTATTAACCTGAAATCGACAAAAACACAAATTAGAACTAAATTGGAAAAATAAAGATAGATGAAAGGACTAAAATACCCTAGTTTAGGGCTAAAATGTGTAACATTTCAGCATTTATCAATATTCATGTTTTAGTGAGACAGTGTCGGAAAATTATTTGACCCAGTGGTGCGTATTTGTGGGAAACCAAGTCTATGGCCCTTAGAACCTCTTAGAATGCCATGGAATGACTAGAATGAATTTTATACAACTAATTTGAATTATTTAGGGTCAAATTAATCCCCCTTGATGTAAAATGACCATTTTACCCTTGTGTAACTTTGGGTCGGAGTAAAGACCCAGTTAATGTTTCAGATCCACGCTTTTGGGTCGTTACAAACCACCACTTTTCAACCGACGCCACCACCTCCTCAACACCTCCTATACCCAAATCTTCCGCCTCCGACCTACTCTCTCTCTTTGGCACCCCCACAACAAGCCTCTGAAATCAAATTCGAAAGAAGCCCAATAACTCAAGTCTTGCTTCAATTCCTCATTCCATTTTCTCCGTAATGATTTGGGAAATTTTTAGATCTAAAAATTGTGTAAACTCACCGTAATGATCGGTGGATCTAGGGCACATTCAATGGCGCTCGGACCACAGACGGAGTCGTCGGCGAGGCGAGCGAGCTCTATCACCACTGCCAACAACCACCAAATGAGTTGGTTTTGTTCGGCCCAAATCCTAGTACGAATGGATTTCATGGTGGGTTCGTGATTTCGATTAGGATTGAAATCACAGTAGGTTCAATTGAGTGGTGGTGGGGGTGGTGGAAGTGCGAAATTGGTTTATGGGTATACTCTTTAAGCAAACGTCTTCTTGTTGGATTCGAACCTTTTATAGGTTATATATACGAAATTCAGAATAAAAACCAGACGATCGACGAGCTTTTTCAGCCCCAAAACTTAGAATCAATGGAAATAAGCTTTCATGACGGGGATCTTTGTGCCGAAGAGAGCAAGGATAAGATGAAGGCCTGACACGAGCTGATGTGGCGCATTCTGGTGAGTTAACAATGGCGACCACTATTGCGATTTCCTCCATCTCCAAGCCCTTTCTTCCTTTCCCCTCTAAACCCTCAAAATCCATTTTCATCATTACAATGGACTCAACAATGCGTTTCTTCGCCATTACCATCTGTTTTATCAATATAATAACGAGGGTATATAAGTCAAATCACCATAAAATCTTACATAGGGGATCTTTGCAAAAAAAAAAAATGACAAATTTCTGATTTACTTACAATTAGGCCAAACCTTAGCAATGCCATTGTAGTTTACACACACACGCACAAAATAAAAAAAATAAAAAAAAATAAATTGTTGTGCGAGTGAGAACAATGTGACAATTTTGACCTTTTGCCCCTTTCTCTCTCTAGTGATATGTTTCTCTCTTGGGCCGGAGGTGTTTTGGAATAGAAAGCTTTGGCTTCTACTTTATGCTCAATTCAAGATTGGTTGGCTGGCACACAGAGAGGAGGGACCCCAAAAGAGGACAAGTGAGAATTCCAAAGCTTAATTTAAATTGGACTACTTTTCAACCCCACTTGTTCTTCTTCCCCATCATCATTACCTTTGGAATAGGAAACAGTTTGTTTGATTTTTTTTGTTGATTCAATTCCATTGGCGACGACTTGTGAGCTCATCGAATCCTTGGTTTTCATTCATTTCTTCTGCAAGCTTGCTTCATCCTCTGAACGTGAGCTCTCTCTATATATCATGATTGTTTTATATAGATTCAATAATTGAAGACTTCGAATCAAACCAATTCTGTCTCTGCCACTCTCTCTACCATGCATAATTAAATTGAAGAATCTGAATCAAATCCGTTTAGAAACACCCATTTCATTCCCAGCTCTCTCTATCGCTTGTTTTATAGATGCAAGAATTGAAGAATTTGCAAGTAACCGATTTTGTTTCCAGGTCAGAACTTATTCAATTTGGTCTCAGTTCTTTGTAAAAGAGTAGGTTTCCAGGGATTTGAAGGGTGACCCTTTTCAGTATATTTTGATGATTTTGTTCTCGTCAGTTATTGGGGTCATACCTGCTTGGAGGTTGTGAATTGTTCAGTTTATGTATTATAAACACACAGATTTGTTGCTCTAGTTTTGATTTCCTGCAAAATCATAAATTGTCAATTTAATTATTATGTTGTCTGGTCCCTGTGACTCTAACTTGCTTCTGGCTCTGCCTGACGATGTCTTTGCCATAGTCACACGATCCCTCTCTCCAAGGGATCTGTGTAATCTCGGTCTGTGCTGCCGGTGTCTATATGCTCTGGCAGCCTGTGACAAGGTCTGGCTTAGCCAATGTGACATGATAGGGGTCATTCCCCATCCAGACCTTGTTGGATGGCGAAAGGGTGTTTTCTCTTACAAGGCTCTATGCCGGTTCCTCATCGGTGTTCAGCCATTGATTGGAATTTGGGTTCATCAAAACCCTGAGCTCGGCAATGTAGTTTATGTCATGCCTGGTTTTATTTCAATTGTTGGGTGCCGGATCATCCCACAAGAGCTTGGTCCCTTAGGTATTGAAGATGGTCCTATTCTGTGGGCACCAGTGTTTGAGATTCTTTGTGATGTTGATGGTTCTGCTGCATTTTTTCTACATGGGAGGGAGAGAGAAACTGACTATTTCTATCCTGGTTCAATCAAGCCTGTTGATTTGACTTGCAATGTGCTGTTGCTTGAGGTTGAGCCAATCCAACAAAGAAATGGGGATAAACTGGTTCATAGTAAAAGCTTGGCCCACGTCGTTGATAAGGAGCTATCAAAAATTTGTCGATCTGATAGTGGGATGTCAAAGTCACAAAGGGTATCTGGACAGAATGTGTCAAAAGTGCCCTTCAGTCGATTGGCATTTGGTGATAGAAGAAAGCTACTTGAGATTGTTACCAACCAAGTCCGTCTAAAGGTGCCTGATTCGGCAAATGGGCTACCATTTCCTTGTTTGAGGGGTGAAGAGGAGAACCTTAAGAAGGATATGACATTATTGAATCAACGAAGATCATTACTTTTAGAGATGCACAAGCTTCATGGGGATCACATTGATTGGAAGGCTAGTCCTGAGCTGCCTCCAGATCCTACTCGGTTGGAATTGAGTGAGATCAGAAACTGTTTTGATCGTTCAAGTGCTTCTTGCAGTTCTGTCAATGGGGATGTTGGTCGCCCACAGTGCACTAAGAGGAAAACACTTGTTGGGTATTTTAGGGACAGCCTGAAACAGATGATTGGAAAATCAAGCTCAATCAATGGCAGCCGTGAAATTTTGAAGAATGGTTCTTTCAGCAGTGAGAATAGGCATGCACAGCTTCAAGAATTTATGAGGTCAGGTGATACAATAGGACTGTCCTTACATGCTGCAACTGTGAAGTTATCTTCTTATAGAGCATGGCCAAATATGCATGATAGTCGATTTGCTCTTTACAAGTTGCCCATGCACCCCCCAACAGCAGGTCGAGAATATAGTGGCCTATGGGGAGGCACTTTTGGCTGGCCTCCTGGGAGGCCTACGGAAGACAAGCCTGGAAAGGCTCTGTTCTTTCTTTTGCTCTCTTATGAAGAATCCCAAGGGCAACGCCTTCTCATTGCAACCAAAATATTAGAAGGAACCCACTATGTTCTGCATCCAAACGGCTCAGCCATGTTTATAGTGAATGTCGATGAGCCTTCACTAGACCCATTCCCTTGGGATATTGACGAAGATTTACTTCCCATTGAAGTCAAGCATGCTTTTACTGGGGAAGGTATTGCAAATGGATATGGTTTTAGATATCCAGGTTCCAAGCCTGGTTCACTCTTCGTGATTCAAGATGAAATGCTTGCTTTCATATGGAAGGAGTCCAGGGCTGTCTTGACCTTGCAGAGGCTTAACTTGCAAGAGCTTCTTAAGAAGGGTGAACGGGTGCCTGCTTTACCTCCAATTGCCAACTTTTCATATTTAACCAAATCTTACTCAAATGTGTTTGCTGGCTTCTCAACCACCTCAAATTGTCCATCTTCAACAAGGTTTGCACTTATCAGCTCCTAAATAAAAACTTAAAACAGTTTTCTCTTTTTATCTCTCCTAAAAATTGATATTTTCTCCTTGATTGTCATTTCAGATTTATATGGACTATGTAACTTTGTGAACTTGTTTAAATATGTATAATTTATGTTTGGTGCTTTTTTGTTGGTTTCAAAACTCCTAGTGCTTCCTATGTTATTTAGTTATTTATTGGTTGATTACTGCCCTATGGATCCCCTTTGTTGAATGGGAGAGGGGTCATACCTTCCCCGCCCGCCTAGTTTTATAGTTTTATTGGTTATGCTAAAAAAAAAATAGTTATCTAATTATAAAATAGAGAATAAGATTTTGAGTTTAAACCAGTATTCGGATCACTATATTTCGTATCACCCACAAGTATTCTTCTTTTGGATGCCCAAATGGTCTTGCAACCTTATAAAATTTTTTATAGCTACCAAACAGATTTGATTATCAAAATTGGTTAAGAAAAATGAAAACAATTTTGCTATTAAAATTTGGAAAGAGTCAGAATATATCCTATATATAAATACTAAATGTGAATCCAAACACAATTTCTTTAGCAAAAAATTTTATATTTCTCCTTTCAATTATTTAATTATTTATAGGTGTCATTTTCTTTAAAATCTGACATTATCTTTCTCTAAATTTTAGATGTCTGCAAAAATAATCTTGTTCAAATTTTGAATACTAGTAAGGATCACTAATCCCTTTATGTGCTGCTTCATTTGGTTTAGATAAGATACATTATCATTTTAAGATACTATCTAGCATAACACTTTCAATGGAGCCTTAGGCCTTGGCAAATAAACTTGGAGTTCCATTCCGAATTTCATTATGTGCCTTAAAATATTCTTTAGGTTGAAATGTTAAATTTTAGTAAAGAACAAAAAATTGTTGGCACGCAGCTCAAAAAAAAAAAAAAATTTGTAGAGATTAATGTCTTCATAGTGAATTTACATTTGTAGAGCTTAATGTCTTCATAGTTTGTCCTTGGTCTCAATTCAAATTTTTAATCGATTTAACTAAATTTTGAATTTCTACTAGATTAAAGGCAATTAAAAAATTTAACTAGTTGGCATGTAAATCAATCTATCCATCATGTTTATAAAGCATATAAAAATATAAAAAATAAGACAAAGAAATCATACAATTGGGAAAACTACTGTACAGAGCCAGATAAATCAAAAACACTATATGACAAAGATTTACAACTAACTTACTAGATTCTCCTTAGAATCACCTAATCCCTCCCGACAAACTTACACAAGATCTCCCATGGCTTTCTAAACATTGATCCATTGACAAACTTGCTTGTCCCTGTGGGGGAGGTTCAAGATATTGCTTCTCTTGCTGCAGTTCTCGGGTGTGGAGTTAGTTCATTTCCTATCTCTTATTTGGGCCTGCCTTTGGGTGCTCCGTCGAGGAGGGTGGGAGGCTGGGATCTTGTGATCGAGCGGTTTGAGAGAAGATTGGCCTGGTGGAAGAAACAATATCTTTCGAAGGGTGGGAAGGTTACTCTCATAAAGAGTATGTTGTCGAGTTTCCCAACATACTTTATTTCTAATTTTCAGATTCTTTCCTCTGTTGCTGGAAGGATTGAGAGACTTCATCAGAATTTCCTTTGGGGCGGTCAAGGGGGAGTTCAAGTATCTTCTTGTCAGTTGGGAGCAAGTTTGGCATTAGGAGGTTGGTCCCTTTCAACAAGGCTCTCCTTGGAAAGTGGTTTGGAGATTCGGTAGCGAACGACATCGTCTTTGGAGGAGGGTTATCTTGTGCCGTTTTGAGGAAGAGAGGTGGGATATGCGGTTTCAGCGAGATTTTTTAACACTGGGAATTGGGCGACATTTTTTGGTTTTTTAAGATCTCTTGTATAGACTGGAACTGCCTAGAACTCTATATTGCTCTTATTGTGAGAAAATAGGTCATTCGTCATTCTATTGCTGTCAAAGAAATAGAGACGCTGAAATTAGTCACTTTTGAAAGAACTATAGGAGGCCCAGACTCCCTTATTTGGTGCCTTCTCCTTAGGGGAGATTTGAGGTCTGTTCCTTGTTCCATTGCCCTTTTGACTTCTCAGGTACTGATTTACCTTGGAAAATAGTTTGACGCTTGAAAGCTCTTCTTAAAGTGGCCGCCTTTGTTTGGACTACAATTTGGGGCAAGATTTTGACGCTTGATAATTTGAGAAGGAGAAGACAGGTTACTGTCAATTAATGTTGCATTTGTAAGAGGGATGGAGAGTGAGTCGATCACCTGTTCTTGCATTGCCCTGTGGCTCACAAATGTTGGAGTCTTATTCTTGGCTTGTTTGGTGTCCAGTGGGTTATGCCTCAGTCTTTGAGGGGATTGATTGATGCTTGGAAAGGATGTTTCGTGGGAGCCCATGCCCGTGAGTTTTGGAGGGTGGCACCGTTCTGGGTTTGGTGGTGTGTTTGGAAGGAGCGAAATAGACGATCTTTTTGAAGGGGAGGAATCTTCCTTGGGGCTTTGAAATTTCATCTTATTAGCTCTCTTTTTAGTTTGGTGATTGAGAGAAATTGTAAATATATAGAGGAGATTGTTGATTTTTTGAGTTCCTTGGATCCATAGGACGTCTTTCTTTGGCTTTCACTTTTGTGTAGTTTTCGGGCTGCGTTCCCCTTTTGAACGCTTTTTAATGCATCTTTACTTATCAAATTTTTTTTTTATACACATATCTAAGTTTATATATATATATATATATATTGTTGTGTCCTTAGATATCCGCATCCTATTTAAGAATTTGTCAAATATGTATCATATAGTCCACATCTGTGCTTCATAGGTGAAGTTTTATTTGGTGATGACATGTGATACTTGTTTTATGTATTGTTAAACGAACTCATGTGTTATATTTATATTTATTTATTTTGTTTAGAAAGTATTAGTGATTGCATTTAGATTCATAATACTATTAAAAAACAGATGAAAAATTAATTATAAAAAATTAATATTTTGTGTATATATATGTAAATAGAAAAATATAATTTATTCTTATTTTTGTTGTCATATCCTACCCAATTTTTTTTTTTCCTTTTAAATTTGCAGTATCGCCGTACCTGCATCATGTCGTATCCTTATCCAGTATCCGTGCTTCCTAGTTGTCTTAACACAATTTGCTCCTCCATATACTGTTGATCTTCTTTCTAGTAACATTTGCATTGTGTGGTTGTTTTGCTAATGAAGGACTATGAACTCGTAGCTGTAGAGATTTTAACAACTCAAGGATACACCACCATGCTAGATGTATGATGAATGTCAAAAACAAAAAGTCTAGCAATCAAAAATTGCTAGTATGCACCATGGATGCTGTAAAGGAAACCTGGATGCTCAAGTCTATTGTGCTCTCTGTTTTTTGAACCATATATGCCTGTATCTATAGTTTTGAGTCAGAAAACAACTAGGATGTTAAGAGTTTCAATTGTCTTTGGAAACTGAAATCACATGCCTCGATAGTTCGATCCAAGTGTCAATCAGTAAGTCGTAGCTGTAGAGTTTTTAACAACTCAAGGACACACCACCATGCTAGATGTATGATAAATGTCAAAAACAAAGTGTAGCAATAAAAAATTGCTAGTATGCACAATGGTTGCACCTGGATGCTCAAGTCTATTGCGCTCTCTGTTGTTTGAACCGTATATGCCTGTATCTATAGTTTCGAGTCAGAAAACAACTAGGATGTTAAGAGTTTCAATTGTCTTTGGAAACTAAAAATCACATGCCTCGGTAGATCAATCGAAGTGTCAATCGATTCACACTCTGGTTGAAGCTCTCGATTGATGCCTAGATCAATAGAGCTGCCCTACATCCTTGTCAGTTTACGAAAGTTCCAAAATCACGAGACATGCAATCTCAAGCATGATCTTGTAAATCAAATCATGATTATAGAAAACCCTAGACTATATTGATGCACATGAATATGTACCTTAATTGGTGAGTGTCCCAATTGAAAGGTGTAATTACCTTTTTGCCCTTGTACAAATCCTCAAATACCGGATCTGCCCTTTGACAAGGTGCCTCAGCTAACATGACCGATGACGTTCCACCAAACATAACATCATAACAATAAGAAAATTTACCAACACTAAGTTTTGAGCACAAATTTGCCAACCAAGTTTCTGTTTGGTAACGCTGCCATTTTCAGTTTTCTGCTGCCATTTAAAAAAAATGAGAATCCGTTTTGCATTTTGGATTGTTTAAAAAAAAAAAAAACCAGAACAAGCTGCCAGCTTCTTTATATTTTTGGCGGCACCAATTTGGTGCTGGAGGAACCTGTTTCCGTTTTAAGTTGCACTATAGTGGCTCTGTTTTTCATGAGCTGCACAACAGAATCACAGAAATGACAGCAAAAAAAAGAAAAGAAAAAGAAGCAGAGTTACCAAACAGGCCCTAAATTCCTATTGACCCAACACTTGATTTTCAAATTTGATATGCTGCTTGCTTTGTTTCTGATATGCTGCTTGCTTTGAATCTCTCAATCACATACTTGAGAAGATTTTTGACGTGTTCTTCACTGATCAGTCTGATCCTCATCTCCATCATCTTGTTTCGTTTGTAGATGAACGACTCAAGACATTTCAAACACATTATGAACCCAAGTTTTGGGTAAGAATTTGCTGGCACATGACTCAATGACTTCACAGAGGCTTTCTTCACTCACATGATTGGGTATTGCGTAGAAATCACAAATTCTGATTGGATTGAAAGTAAGGCACTTAATTGAATCAAAAAGTGTCAACCAGTTCTCAAACATTGAAACCGTAATCAAGAATGGAAATGCATAGAATCACACAGAAGGTGGATTGTTTTGGGTGAAACAATTGCCTTCACGATTAGAGGCTGGAATTGCGAAGTTTGTGGGAGTAAGTTGAAGTGAACAACTACCGGGCTCGCAAGGATTTGAGTGCGAACCAGGCATAAGTCTGAGACTGAGATACTTATCTACAAATCTTAGCAAAGCGAATTTTGAGCATTCAGGTGAGTTCAAGTTCTGTTGTAACTTCTTCTTCAAAGATAGTGGAGTTTTTTGCTGTGTATTAGGTCCCATAGATTTTTCAAAGATAGTGGAGTTTTTTGCTGTATATTAGGTCCCATAGTTTTCCCTGTTTCAGTTTCACATAAAAATATTATGCCTTCTATTCCTTTTTACTCGCTTTCAATTTCTGTTTTTGCATTCATGATATGTGGTTGATTGGGATCATTCATTATTGAAGAATTTTAAGAATAAGTCATTTGACAAGCAAGTAGACCTATTCAACCCCATCTAGGTCTTTGGGATAGTTAAACTCAAAATGAACCCATTCACTAGTGCAACTCTTGTGCTACAAGAATCATTTTTTCCTTACTGTCTAGGTCCGTAGAATTTGTATAATCCGAATTATGAAGTTCATGTATGTGTGTTATAGATTTATTCTCTTTTAAGATCTTTCTTATGACATAGTGATGAAATTCACAGTTGTAAAATTAGCTGCTGTAGATTGTAATGTTGTGTAGCCTTTAGGACACTTGTACCTGTTGAGATTTGTCTAGTTGGCACTCATCGACCGATAGAGTTGGATAAATGGGTCTTCAAGATCAATCATAGAACTGTGTTGGCCTAAAGTTTTCATACCAAAGGGAAATTGAAACATTTTGATGATAACAAATCATTGAAGGTGTTAGTATTTAGTATCTACTTGAATTTGTGCTAAGTAGATTATAGACATATGAAAACTCAAGATGAGCTAATTGATCAATGGCAAAGACCAAGAAGGATCCAACACTTAAAAGAAGACATGCTTAAAGCTTTAAGATATTAAAGACGTAGGAGAAGACCTCTAAAGCTGAATGACAATGAAGTCAAGATAATGACTTCTACATAAGAACAAAGAGGCATTAAAGTCAAAATAAGCAAGTCATGAACAAGTCAACCCATGGACATTATCGAAGATCAAGATATGGTTAGATAGGCATGGGTGAGTGACTAAAATTTATTATAAAGTTTTCTTAAAGTAACTCGCTTGAAAGCTCAACTCTTGACTTGACCTTAGGACTTTAGGACCTTGCATATCATTTGCATGTCCCGAGGACCCTAGATGATAGAGAACAGTGGCAACAGCCTTTTAAAGTGTATAGAAGGCGTGGCAAGGAGGGCTCTAAGGCTCAAGCCTTAATTTGGCATGTGCTAGATGAGGTTGGGTCCACTTGGAGTCTTGCATAATTGCATAGTTATTGTAAATTGCATTAATGATGATCAAATTGCATCAGTCAGGTTTTTGTTAATTTTATTATGCTAGAGTCAACTATTGATTACCTCAATTATGGGGTAATCCAATGGTCATAAGTTGTTATAGAAATGATAGTATGTAAACTTGATGACTCACTCAATGAATGAATAAAAATGTCTTTGAACTTTCTTTGTGAGTGATTCACAAGATATGAGGGTGTGAGGCCTTCTCTAGGTGTGATGCCTAGACTTGTTGGTGTGATTCCAATAAGTTTTTGTTATTTTCAAATCCTTTCTCTCCACTAACACATCTTGAACGGCAACCCCTATTTATATGAATTTTCATCCAGCCAGTAAACTCTTTATTTATTTCAACTATTCAGGCTGCTCTTGTCATGAACCTCATTCATATCATCATGAGGCCTTTGCTAATGTTGAGTAAGTTCAAGCTTTTATAAGCTTTGGAAGAACTCAACTATTAAGAAACATGAACCAGGACCATGTGCCTAATTCATATCATATGAATTATTCTCTAGTTTTAATACAAGGCTTTGAACTTAATTGTTTCAATCTTGAAATGGCTTAAGTGATACTGAGATGATCTCCAAATTGGAATATCTTTAATACTCAATATTCACATGTAGTAGAGTCAAGGACCTTGGATCAAATTGATTCATATCAAGTATATGGTCTGTAGACCTCAAAGGATTAGGACTTGAACTTATCATATTAATCCTTGAAGTCCTAAAGAAAGTTGGAATGAATTAAAAAAAGAAAAAGAAAAAGGTTGGAATGAATTAAAAGATGACGTATATCATATTGTATCAGGCCAATTCAGTTGGTTGCTCGTGTGAGCTTCAGTGGACTCAAATATTCCAATGGCAAGTGGCATCTCTTGCTGGAGCTTTAAACATCAGTCAACATTTCCATTGTGTCATTCGACCTATACAAAGCAGCAAATTGATTGATTCTAAAATAATACTTCATGTGTGATGGCTGTTTACTTTGCATAGGTGAAATGAATAATTTTCTCTAGTCAGCTTCTTTTTGTCTATTTGACAGGAAGAATCATCTATAAAATATCTCTTGGATCTTGGAATGCAGAGTAAAGATTTGACAATTATTGCACAGCCGTCGTTTTGATTCCTTGTGTAAGAACTGAATGCTCGTTGGCTGCTGTTGATAGCTTAGTGATGATGGACTTCATTTATCATCGTGATTCTCATTGACGATTTATTCTCCTAACTGCTTTCAAAATGTGACACAACTCCTTTCTCCTAGATGGTGAAGTTTAAGGTAATTTTATTTTATTTTATTTTATTTGTATTTATGCAATCTAGATTATTTATAGGAAAATAAGCATTAAATGTTAGTTTTGCATTTGAAATTTTACACCTTGAGTTGGTATCCGACAATTGGAAGAATCATATTTGAATTATCTTAATAAAGTTTCTCCATGCATTTGGATCAGAGAAATTGACATCGAACAGAATTCTAGTTTTTCTTTTTCATTTTTTTTTTTTTTGTTAATGGCCCTTCCACTTTTATTCTTTTATTTTTTATTTTATTTTTTTGCTATAATATTTACTTTCAATTTTCATAAAGATGTCAAACTGATCTTATTGGACCACTCTGATTGTGCTTGTTGCGTTGACTACAATTTACTTCTTTTGGCAATTCCTCAAACTTCAGATGCTATACATTTAACAGTGCTTTATTTAAATTTGTTGCCACTATTAATGTGAATAAATAATGACAAGGCATTTGGTTGTTGATGAAAATAAAATCAATCGTTCTCACATAACATTTGTAACTAAGCAACAAGCATGGCTTTGTATATAGGAAGCCTAAATTCAAAAGAAGTTATCCAATTTATATAGGACAAATATTTTCCAAAAGACTCGTGTGTAAGAATTGATGTTTCATTTGAATCTGTCTGAAGATTATTTTGGTTGCAGTGGCAAGACATAGTATGCTTTATTGACTACAGCAAGTCTTTAAATTTAATTAGATTGGGTTTTCTGTGGGGTCAATGCCAGGTGCAGCAGTAAAAAACAGGTGGCCGGCAAACGTGAGAAGTGGCTTTGAGTATGGGGGTGGCTACACTGCAAATAAAGATGAGGGTGGGTTGTAGTACTCAATCAAACACTCGACCGTGCTGAACCGGGACCAACAATGGGTAACGAGCTTAGTTTTTTCTTGATTGAAATGGCAACTACATGTTCGGCCTGTTTGAATTTTGTGTCAAAGAAGCTTGAGATTTTGAGGGTTTTCAATTTCTTCTATTTGATTTTTTTTTTTTTTTTTTTTTTTTTTTTTTTTTTTTTTTTTTTTTTTGTGTTGTTGTTGTTGTTGATCTTATAAACCTAAAAAGGGTGTGAAAATAGTCTAGTTTACAATTTTTGCTTGATAGTCTTTCTTACCTTTATCCCTTGTGAGTAAGGTTGTCCACATAAATTCCCTTTTAACCTATCATCCATTTTAGTATTCTCTCTATATATATATTTTTTCTTTATTGATATATATATATATATATATATATATATTTCTTAACGTCTAGCACTGTACACCATGTAAGATGGCTAGCCTAATTTAAGTCATGTTAAGTATAAGTCTTGCCTTGGCAAATTATTGATCTGTGGATTTTCACTAGTAAAAGGGCAAAACTTAATGGTTCGTGTTTGATTCATTGAGAACACTTTCAACATGCATTAAAAGTGGTTTTTTTAAATTAAAAAAAAAAATAAATCACTTTTGAGCCTCTTTTTCTCAGTTAAAGTGCATGCCAGATTTGGTTTAAAAAGTCACGGTAGTTTGAAAAATTGATCCACCATGAAAAGAGAGATGTACAATTGGGTCTATGTTTAGTACTCTCAAATTCCTAATTGATCTCTAGAGACAACTAATACTAAATCTTGAATGACCTTGAAAGTTTCTAGGACATCAATTGAAAAAGAAAAATATTTTACTTGAAAAATGAAAATATTTTATTTCGATATACTCGGAGATGACTTGGTATTCAAAGAATAATAGACAATTCAAGTCACTAACCCTGACTGTATAAAATATGGGTAAAATGTAATAAATTTCTCTGAATTATTGAGGTTTTATAAAAGCTCTCCAGAATTACACGAAACTCCCTTGAACTATATTTTTCTTGCATTTTACCTAACCAGCTCACCTTCCTGTACAGAAATATTCAAAAGACCATGTTGTCCTTAGTAAAAAATGACGATGTTTCAAGTTTTTATAGACTTAACTTGCCAATTTGTATGGTAAAATCCTAAAAGCCAATAAAATTGTGACAACACAGCGGTATGGATAAATGTCTCTCTGATGCAGAGTAGAGCAGACCAATGACTATTCAACAAGGCAACCTTAGCACTTGTTCGTATGAGTTCTCTCATCCTCGTTCCTCTTTACACCCTAACGAAATAACCAAATGTCTTTACAACCCCAAAATTGTGGGATCAGGATCACCTCCAGTCCCACAGTGCCCCATTTCCTCCATTTTGGGTCAATGAACAGTGTTAACCATGTTTGGGTAAAAAATATATTTTTGGAATACAGAATTTTGGTGTGTGTGTGTGTATATATATATATATGTATATACTGTTGTAGAATACCCTTTTTGTGTTCCCTCCCTTATTTCTTCTTCCTCTTCCCTCCCTCATTTTAGGTGACATTTGAAATAGAAATAAAATCCCGCCCTAGCCTGCGTCTCTCCCAAAATATGAAAGAAGCCATTTTAGAAATTTATTTCTTTCCAAATAGAATCCAGAAGCAGCGATTGTTGTGTGAATCAATCCAAAATTTGGATGCTACAAATTGTTTCCAAATAGAAGCAGTGGTTCTGTCAGTCGCAATGAAATTGTAGATTCTGATTTCCTTCCAAAATGAAGCACCAGTGTATTTTCAAAGCTAAGCGGGAGTGTATTTCCAAATCGAAGCAGGAAATCGCCTTATTTCCAACCCTAATTAGGTACGATTCATAATTTTGAGATTTGATTTTTTAGGAAATCATCTGATTTCCATAAGAACTGAATGGCAGAAACAAATATATATAGACACAATTTTGGCAAGAAACCCAGAAATAGAAAATTATTGGTGAATTTAATTGATCACTATTTTATTGTTCAGTTATTAGGGGTTTTAATGTTTTTTTGTGAGGATAAAAAATGAGAGGATTTGTAGGGTACATGACTGGCCGGAAAAGAGTGTTTCAGAGTGTGAGTGTTACAATGTTAAGAAAATGTTTGGTCGTTGGGGTTGCATCGCAACATTTTCCTAAGTTGCATCCCAACTTTCTCCTTATAAGCATCCCAAACTTTTCCTTATTTACATTCCAATATTTTTGTAAAGTGAGTCACAACATTTTCCTAGCGTACATCCCAAAACCCAGAAATAGAAAATTATTGGTGAATTTGAATTGATCGCTATTTTATTGTGCAGTTATGAGGGGTTTGAATGTTTATTTGTGAGGATAAAAAATGAGAGGATTTTTAGGGTACATGACTGGCTGGAAAAGAGTGTTTCAGAGTGTGAATGTTACAATGTTAAGAAAATGTTTGGTCGTTGGGCTTGCATAGCAACATTTTCCTAAGTTGCGTCCCAAATTTCACCTTAAAAGCATCCCAAATTCTTCTTTATCCACATTCCAATATTTTTGTAAGGTGAGTCACAACATATTCCTAATTTACATCCCAAAATTTTCGTAGCATAAATCCCAAAGTATTTGTGCAGTGTATCCCAAAATTTTCCTAATGTGAATCCCAAAGGTTTCGTAAATCACATCCCAACTTCTTGAAAGGTATATCCCAAATTTTTCCTAAGGTGAGTCCTAACTATTTCCTAAGGTGAATCCTAACTGTTTGGTAACGTAAATCCAAAATTTTGCATAATATTAATCCCAACATTTTCAGAAAGTGTATGTGAAATTAGCATCAGTTGTTTAGATGTATATGTTCTATTGTGGCAACGAGGATTTTTATCGTCGTTTGTCTGGGATATACTTGATTGATACATGCAAAGAAATGAAATGAATGAGATATATGTCAAATTTAATTTCTCATACATGTGAAAAGGTTTTTTATTTGATTGGTTATACATGTGAAAGTGTTTTGTATTTGAGCCATTGAGATTGAACATACTTGGGATGTAGAGGTAAAATTATTTTTTGTTAATTCAATATTTTGTGCATATGTGAGAAAATGTTTTGTATTTGAGGCGTTCAGATGGAAGGTGAAGTAAATAATATTCAAGACACAACAAACGGACGAAACGTTGCTGTTGTAGAACCGGAAATGATGAAATGGAAACCAAGGTATAAAATGGAGTTTGATAGTGAGGAAAAGGCATATGATTTTTACAATACATATGGTGGTCGAATTGGTTTTAGCATCCGGAAGGAGTATGGCAATAAAGTTAATGGAAGAATTACATCGAGGGCGTTTGTTTGTAACAAGGAAGGTGTGAAGGGGACTGACAAATGGGATGTATTTAAAAAGACTCCCCGGGCTGAAACACGAACCAATTGTGGTGCACAAATGGTTATTATATATAACAAAACAAAGGCAAAGTATGTAGTTTCTAAATTTGTAGAAAGTCACAACTATCCATTCATAATTGCTAAATGCAGCCACATGATGCCGTCCTAGCGACGAATTTCCTCAGTCCAAGCCATTGATGTTGAGTTGGCTTCGGATTTAGGAGTTCCGGCTTGTAATGCATATGAGTTGATGGGAAGGCAGTCTGGTGGCAAAGAATCAGTTGGGTACTTGAAAGTGGATCTTAAAAATTATCTAAGGACGCGAAGACAAAAGGAGCTTCTTTATGGAGAGGCGGCATGGCTTGTGTATTATTTTGAGACGCATGGTTGTGAAGATCCTTCGTTATTTTATTCCTTGCAACTGGATACTGAGCAAATTATTACAAACATATTCTGGTCAGATTGTAAAATGATCATTGATTATGGTCAGTTTGGAGATGTTATCAGTTTTGACACAACGTACAAAGTGGTACACGGCAACAGACCATTTGCAATTTTCTTGGGTATGAATCATCATCAGGGGACCGCTATGTTTGGAGCAGCCTTAATGTATAATGAGACAGCGGATTCGTTTGTCTGGTTATTTGAAATGTTCTTGAAAGCGATGGGCGGAAAAGCGCCAAAGACAATTATTACGGATCAAGACGCTGTAATGGTGAAGGCTGTGATGTTTCCGATTTTCAGTTTTTTTTCATTTTTCTGGAATTTTTGTCGCCGCAAGGGCATTTCTGTCTTTTCACGTTTTGCGTGCGGGATTGTGGTTGGGTCCAATTGCATTTCATACATTTTAATTTATGAGAATTATGTAGTATTTGGATGATGTGTATTTATATGTTTATATGGTGTATAATGGAGGAATAAAGAAAAAGGAAAATTAAAATAATAAGGTGGGACCCACCATTAACATACAAAAAGGCTAGAGACCACATTTTGGTCTCCATTTTCTTCCTCTCTTCCGCTGGTTCTCTCTTTCTCCTCTTTACTTGCTTTTTCTTTTTCTTTTTATTTATTTATTTATTTAAAACTTCAACTTTAGATCCCTCTCTCAATACTTGATCATTTTGGGTACCGTTTGCGCAAATCGAAGCCCACGATGAGATATTTCATTTGATCGGAGCCAATCTCTATTTGGCTTCCAATTGGAGGATCTCTAATTCTAGGGTTTGTGAGAGAATTTGGGGGTTTTGCACAATCTTGAGGTAGGGGTCTCTAATTCATACTTTTCTTCTACTCTTGTGAGTTCCCCTACTTGAATTGTTGTCAAGCACGCTTAAATTAACTTGATTGTTTTCTTAGATGATTTAATTGAGTGTATGAAACATGTGATTATGTGGAATTGTTATTTTATTTGAGAAGCATGATAAATGTTAATTTTCTATGTCTAAAGTGTTACAAATTGCTAGCTATGATGTTTGGAAAGCATGCTTAATTGAATTGTTGAAAATCACTTAGTAACATCGCATTGGAAGCATTAGACACATATATACACATCATTGGGTTCACATGGATGGGAATGATTTTTCTTTGAAACAATGAAAAGGGGGATTTTCAGGAGAATTTTGATAAAAAGGTTTTGTGAAAACCCAGTCGCTGCGGGGGTACCAAAGGGTCGGAGGTTTAATATATCCTAGAGGGAACTAGGGAGATTGCCCTAGCGTGGTTGAGCTAGCTGGGCCCAAAATGACGCCGCGGAAGTACCAAAGGTCAGGGACACTAGCCAATCCTTCTCTCGTGTCGCTGCAGGGTCACCAAAGGGCGGGTTATGTTAACCGTTTGAAAGTGATGGTCTTGAAAAATGAAAATGAGGAGTGACATTGGCACGCATTGCATCCCATTGCATCATATTGTGTACTTGAGATTGATTGTTACGTGGTAATATCCTGACATTGTATGATCCCCATATCCTATTGCTCTATTCTTTGTTTGGATTCACGGGGCTGCAAGAGGTGTGTCTTAGGCGCTACCTACTGAGCTTTACGCTCACCCCATTATTTAACATTTTTCAGGAACCGAAAAAGATGTAGTAGATGTGGACCTTCCACAAGTATGAGGATGATTAGAAGTTTATCTTAGACCTTTTGTATATTTTCCACTTTCTTGTAAATTATGGCCATGTAAATTAATTAAGACATTTGACCATATTTTGATGTATATGGTAATCATGTAGTTGCTTGTATTGGATGGGAGATCAACGTTTTATTGTTGGCAAATTTAGTGATGGCTATTCCTTATTTAATGATGGGTAGTTGCCGTGAATTCGGAACTTGAGTCCATAACAGATTCAATGTGGGTTTTGTGTGCATAGTGTACAGCCAGAATGCAGATTCCAGAGAGTTAGGTTGCCTTCCAGGGCCTTTCGGCCGGCTGATCCTCTCCATCAGCCGACCGAAACCCCAGGTTTGGCTGACCGAACCTTCATCGTCAGCCGACCGGTGGCTTGCACAGTGAAAGTCCCGAGAGCCTTTTTCCTCACCATCGTTTTGGCCGACCAATCTTGCTTATCAGTCGACTGATCCTGCCTTGTCAGCCGGCTGTCCATGGGCCATCAGCCAGCTGATAGCCCTTCTTTGACCTGTATTATTTGGACCACCTTGTAAGCTTGACTTGGGACATTTTTGGACCTTAGATTATGTAATGCCCCTAATTTTAAAAGGACAATTCTGGAATTTAATTATTGTATTTAATTGCATTTTATTTGATTAGGTGTCATTATTTTAAATTATTTGTTTGTTTGTTGTATTTAAATTACTTGTGGGTTATTTTATTTAATTGTGTTTTATTTTAATTAATTGAATTTTGTTTTTCTTTAGTGACTTAATTGTATTAATTGTTTTAAATAAAACTGTTTTATGTTAATTGGTTATTTAATTATGTTTCTTAAGTTTGGTTATTTACGTGCTTAGGTGAATTAACTGTTTAAGAATTTAGGGTTTTGGTTTTAGCCGACAAAGGTTATAACTTAGGTTTTCTTGGGCCGACTAAGAGTTGCATTAGGGCTCTAATTATACAAGGATTAGGGTTGGAGTATTAAGCCTATAAATATAATCTTATGTGGGTTTGAGGGTTTTAGAAAATACAAAACTCTGTTCACGATACAGAGAGAACAACAGAGAGCAAGAAAGAGAGATAGGAGAGGAAGGCTAGGTTGGACCAAGAAGGAGGAAGGAGAGGTTGCTCATAGGTGAAACCAATAGCAACAGAGCTGGAACTATAGTCTAGGATATTAATGGAGCATTCAGAGACAGAGGATTACAGTTTCAAAATCTGGAATTGCAGGCAAGTTTCTATTATTCTCTTTCCCGTTAATTCGTGTTCTGTGCATGCCTAGTTAGACTCCAGGGTTTTATTAAAGGCGAAAACGGATTGAAACAAACATAATTACATGTCTTCCATGCATATATGAATTTATTTGATCTCATTGTATTAACTGTTTTTCATAATCATGGAAATTATATAATCTGTTCCTTCTATGTTTACAATTAAGCATTGTTCTAATTGAGCTTAGTATTATAATTGGATGCCTCGTAATTAATTTAGGACTGAGTTTGAACTCTAAAACAAGTCCATAGAACAATATTTAATTGCATAAAATTAATTGGAATTAAATCTGTAAAAAAAACTTGCTTAAAAATTTCTAGCAAAGGTTCCGTGTTCGTGGCTTTAAAAATTAGATCCTATACATGTTGGGATTCGATCTAAGAGATTTAAGATGAACCTAGGACTGAGTTGGAGCTTAGATAAGGATTAAAAACATCACAGAGGGTTTTGTAAATCACCGGAATTGAAGCAGTTGAAGCTAAAACGGACGAGGGCTGCTAAGAGGAAGGAGAGAAGGCTCCAAACCTCTTAGAGCCGGCTCCCAAAGGGGAGAGACGGCTCTAGGTGTCATGGAGCCGGCTCTAAGATCCTAAAGTCGGCTCTAAGTTGAAAAATAGAGCAGGCTCCCATTTTAAGAGCCTTCTCTATCTTGAAATGCACTGTAACGTGGGTTTTTTTAAAACTGTTTGTTTTTTTTGGGTTTCTGCAATTAATTTAAATTGTTTAAATGATGTGTGGGACTGTATAAGGCTGGAATTATGTTGGAAAATTATGAATTCACAATTGGATTGAGGAATTGAGCAAGCAAAACCCAAGAGGAAATTTGTAACTTGCTCACTGTTATGCTAATTTTATTTACTAGAATTTGGCAAGAGTTTTATATATAATCTAAATATATATAATCATATATATTTCTTATAGTGTTCTAAGTATGGTGACTTAATTAAACTCAACTATACTTAGATTGTGTTTATTGGTACTTAAACTGTTATGAAATTTTATCAATTCATGGATAATGTCGGAGGATCTGCTAGGTTTATATTCTGAAGCTTAGCAAGATTGTTATATATGGTTTAACTATAAATATAAATCATATTTCCATAGTCTTATAGGTATAGGGAAATAACTAAAATTTCTTATGCTTAGCTTGGATGTAATTGATACTTAAAATCCTATTAGCGGTATAAATTCCTGGACTGTGTTGGTGAATGTGATCGCTTAAATTTATTGTAGCAGTTTACATTATTGGATTTGGATTTTTTGGGCTCTATAATTAAAGCCTAACATTTATGTACATGCATTAAATTTATCTTGTGCATATTCTGGAGTGTGGGTGATGACTATTTAATATTGTTTTGTCAACTGTGTTCACTGGAGGATTGTATGTACCGGTATGGGATGGTGACATACTAGGTATGGACTAGTTCAAACACTAAGTTCTACCTAAATTGGATTAAGGTATGGATTAACCATAAAGGTTAAGTCCATCACCTACATGTGTCATATCAATTGTGAATTGAAAGACTTACTACGGTTTCAGGATGGAGTGTTTACATATATCAGACCACTACATAGATAGCTGATATTTTGTATTGGGAGTACGAACTTTATATATATATTTTATGTGCCATGGTATGAGCCTGAGTCTCAGGACCATGGCGAGGGCGCGTATATCGCTTAGGATGGATAACTGGACATAGGTGTTGTTTCCTGGTAGGTCTAGGTACTCATGCCCACCTTCGGGTGCGTATTCGCATGTTGCCTTCTATTCAGGCTGAGACAGACCTATTGGACTAGCGAGTGTCCTATAGTATGTACTATATATACATATATGGACTACTTTAGATATTGTTGAGTCTTTCTAGGATGTATCTGCGTATCGGATTACTGTTTGGATCGTAGTAGATCAGGACTTGCATGTGGGCCTGACCCACTCCTTTATTTTTCAGGTGCTCGTCGGTTCCAGAGTTAGAGGTTGATCGTGCAGAGCAGATACAGATATTCATTCCTCTGACTATGTAGGAATCTTCTCTATGATAGCTTTAGATTTTATTTCTGTCATTTCAGTTTCGGTTTGAGAATTTTAATAAGGGGTCCAATGGATGGATTCTCGAGTTATAACCTTATGGAGGTTTTGGAACATCGGATTTGACTAATTATGATTCAAGGTTTTTCTTTTAGTTTCTTTCAGGTTATTATATTATTTCTTATTTCACTTTGTATTCTGTGTTCGATTTAAAATATTAATTGTTTGATATCCCTCGGGTTTGGGCTCGGACCTGATCAACCGGCGTCTCAGATCCGAGGGGTATCACAGATTACCTTGTATTATGGTTAAGGACTCAGGAAAATTAACGGCGTGACCTAGTTGACCACGAGTTCGGGTAAGGACCCGGGTAACGGTCCGAATCCACAGATTCGGGTCACTACAAAGGCATTAAAGCAGGTGAATAACTTTCATACATCTCCATTCTTGTATTGTTTCATGCTGAAACAATTGTATTATTTCAGTCGGTTGTATTTTTTTGGATTTGCATGTTTGCAACACGGGTATTAAGTTAATTAATCGTGCAAGTCATGCCGGTGATGAAACATCATTTATGTGTTTGGCACTTAATGAATAATGCGCAGAAGAACCTACTATTTTTGTTTAAACGCGTTGAAGGAATAAAAAAGGTCATCTCAAAATTAATGTTCCAAATTGAGGAAGAGGATGATTTTATCTGGGAATGGGATTGAATGATTGCAGAGTATGGTGTTGCTGGTAATAAGTGGCTTTCCACTTTGTTAGATTTGAGACATAAATGGGCCCTGGCATTTGTCAAACACGACTGGTCTGCAAGAATGAGTAGCACGTAATTGAGTGAAAGCTTCAATGGTTAATTGAAGTATTACTTTTCCAGACAATTTATTCTACCAAAATTTTTCACACACTTTGACAGATTGTTGTCCGATAAGCGGTACAAGGAGTATGAAGCCGGGTATGGCTTGGTGGAGAGGCAACCGGAACTAAAAACAAAGTGCCACATATTACGTCAAGCGGGGAAGGTGTACCCCAAGGCAATATTTCAGCTTTTCCAGGAGGAGTTTTTAGCTGCTCTTGCGAGTCAGGTTGTTATTAGTTGCACTGACTTGGATAAAAATGGACACCATGTTTATAAAGTTGCTAGTAAGGACGGGGTGCAACATCGTGTGAGCAGGACATTTGAAGATGAATTGTCATGCTCATGTTGTAAATTTCAAAGAGAGGGCTATTTGTGCAGGCACAGTCTGAAAATCCTTAAAAACTGCATGTTTGTGAATGAGTTGCCTTCGCGATATATAATAAAAAGGTGGACTAGAAATGCTAGAGATGGCAGGTTGGAGGAAATTGTTTCCACTGACGTAAATCCGGATCCTCAACTTGAGATTAGGCGACGACATAGGACGCTTTGCCGTATACTGACTGAAATATCTTCCATTGCATCGCACGACCCTGAAGGATATAATGATCTATTAGCAAAACACTGGATTGGAAAAGAACAGTACAAATAACCTATGGTTGTAGGTTTGCAGAGAAAATTGCAAAGGGTAATGGAAAAAAAGGGTGAAAAGCAACAGTGGAACAATTCCCATGTCCCTGAAAGTTAAAGATACCTCTAAAGGACGATTTAAGAGCCTGAAACCAGCCATGGAGTTAAATAGTGGGAAAAGGAGGAAGTCAACGAAAGCAATAGGCCAGGTATATGTTACTATCGCACGCACTGATATTTCATTGTTTAACTATTTGAACATGCGAACAAAATAAATTCAAGTGCATAAAATTATATCCTTCGTCATAAAACACTCATGAGTGAGAAACTAACATTTTTTTTTTTTGTTTTAGATATCAAATGAAACCGTTGTTTTGGGAGACGCCGGTGGCAGCAATAGTCCATCAACCCCGTCCTACGTGTTAGTGAATGTGAGTATTATTACAAGTATATTATATATAAGCAGTTACTATTCATTCATGATTGTTAGTTAACATGTTGATTATGTTAAAAAGTGCATTGATAGTGTTTATATGAAATATTTTAGGGTGCAGAAATTCTCGTCGAATTTCTCAATGAAGAATCTTACATAACACCACCAGCTGTATTCCACAACAGACAGCTTAATATTTGTGAACCATGTACTTCATCAACTAACCATGTAAATACTTTGACTAATTAAGATGCATTATTTTCTTTGTTTTTCCAAAATGGACCAATTTTTTTTTTACATCTAAACAATATATTACAAAGGTCACATGGGACATATCCCACACCAAACCCTGCCCAGACTAGGCAACATCAGAAAAAGTCACACTAAAACCTAATGCAAAACACTGATGTAGATCAGTTGGAATATGTCCCATTTTCCCTTGACCTGCAGCAATAAAATGCCCAAAACTCTTGATCGAAAACTGTATGTGGAAAAAAAAAATTGACATCATTACCATCACACCAAGGATGAAGAAAAATGTTGATGTCAGTTCCTTTTTCCAATAACGTACTTACAGTTGATCTTCATGAAGTCCCCCAAATGGCAACTATACTCTTCCATATAGAAGAATCTGAAACCTTTGGCATGACCTGCCAAAAGGATGTATTTCTTAGGTAACATGAAAAATGTTTATACCCAACCACTGAAATCCTATCTTTGGACAGTAAATAATCCGAAGCTAATACACAGTTTTTAGGTAAATCAATATTCAAAACTGTTGTCACCCCCAAACCACCTTCTTCTTTAGGAGCAGCAAGCTTCTTCCGTTTTAAATTCCTCATATCTGCATAATATATTCATCATGCCCCAATATGAAGTTCCTCATTGTCTTTCATATGCCCATAATCATGTATAAAATTCCCTGCCGCATCTTGAATGACAGTGATATTGGTTCTGTAATGACTCGGTCATTTTTTTCCTTTTCTTTTTTCCTCAAATTTTGTGGATAAATTTTTTCCGTTGTCTTTTTTTTTTTTTTTTTTTTTTTTGTGGATGGTTTTTCGTCACTTAGTGTCGCCTTGAGTGCTCAAAAATGGTTTCTGAGACTCTTTTCTGTGGATTGACAACTTCCTTTGAGGACCGAGTCATTTCCATAATTTTCGTTTTTTGACATTATTCACCTTTTGTCCTTATTCCTATTTCGTCCCTTTCCCTATTTCGTCTTTTCCCTATTTGTCACTTTGTTGGTAAAACCTCACTTCTTGTGCTCGGAGTTGGTTTTTGACTTCACGTATCCTTATCGTGAGTGGTTTCGACGAAATACGCATCTTTACTTTTGCAAGAAAGTACTCTGGTTGCTCCCGGTGCCCATAGGGGCATGGATGCATAAATCTTTGGAATTAATTTCATTTCTTGGGGTGTTTTTCATAAATATCTTTTGAAGATATTTTATTTCAGGGGCATCTAAGAAAATATCTTTTGGAAGATATTTTCATTCTGGGGCAGTTTCGCAGTTAACCCTTTTTGTAGGGGCCATTGTGCAATTAACGAAAGTTATTGCAAAATGTCTCGTCTGGAGCCTGGATCTTCATACGGGATTCATTTGCACTTTTTGTTGACTCGTAAATTCATAGAATTCCGTTCTGGCCGTTTTTCTCCAGTTTCAGAGTTTCTAGACCCGGTTGCCGCCGAACTTGTTCGGGGCATATCTTTCTGCTCGGGACTTAGTTTATGATGCCGTTTCTTCCGTTGTTCATATTTTCTTATTGTGAATCTTTTTCGTTCAAGAAGTTTTGCCGTTTGAGCGCGTTTGATCAAATTTTACTTTTCCGGACCCGGCGGGACCCGTTCGGGGCACTTTTTGGATTTTCCTATAAAAGGGAAGTGAGATATTTCATTTTTGGCCATCTCCTTCCTTGATGCACGACCAGCAGCTCCCCTGGCTGCCAAAAGGGGCTGCCACCCTTCTTCTTCTATTTAAACCCTCTTCCCTTTGTTAAAAAGTTGAAGTGCCTTTGTGGTTTTGTGTTCGTGTTGACTACGCGCTTCTTTTACCCTTATTAGAACCCATTTCTAACCAAATTTTGAGTTTGGTTTTGAGTTCAAGTAGTGATTTTCATGGGGCTTCTTTGGGATTCTTGGTCACGGCGTTGTCCTCGACAAAACCCCGAAGTATTGTCGGATTCGGAGCCGTTTCGTTTTGATGGCTTTTGAGATTTTCATCTCAAATTGAGGTAGGGGGTGTCTTAGGATTATATTTATGTTGTATTGATTCTTATATGAGCATATAAAATTTGTGAGCATGTTTTTTTTTAAGATTTAGAATTTAATTTAATTAATTTTTATATTTGAGATTTAATTCATATGCCTTTGTGTATAACATGGAATTAAATTGTGTCATGTTAGGAAATTAAGTTTTAGTATGTTGATTAACATATATTAGATTTGGGGCATTTGGATAAGAATTACAAAAATTATTTAATATTTATCTTTTGTGAAAGTTTAATTCACATGGTGATAGCAAGCATGAAATCATGATGTAATGTGATATTTGGATAGGCCTTGGCATGTTCTCTAACATAGATTAAATTGAGGGCATTTGGAATTGTTTAAAAATCTAGAGGAAATAAATTAATTAGCTTGATTAATTTTGTTTTAAGTGTTTTAATCACTTAACTTGTCATTTGATGTTATATATGTGATGACCATGACATGTCCTTCAATATATATTAAATTGAGGTTAACTGGGATTAACTTGGAATTTAGAAAATTTAACTATTTATGTTTAATTAAATTATATTTTATTACTGCATGGATTTAATTGCATTTTGGAAGTTGTTTTTTATATTTAAATCATGGATTTGGATTTGGTGTATGTTCACTTGATTACTTTTGAGCATTGGATAACATAGTTGTTACTTTTATATTCATGAGAATATGTTTTTCCTTATTGAATATATTGTTGCTATGTGTAAGGAATTGCACACTTTGTATTTGACATCTTTCATGCCATAGTAGTTGTAGACTTTGAGTATGTATTGTATAAGTTTCCAAAATTGGATTGTGCTTGGTAAATAGTTGATATCTTGTATATACATGCTGATATATATATACGTTGTTGCACAATTTGTTGATTTTGGAAACTTGGGGATGTCGTTGTTTGGCTATAGCTAGGACTTGGTTCTAGTATGGGGGATTGTCCCTCTATATAGTCTAGCACATAGGGAGGTTACCCATGGGCTAGTAACCCTAAAGTAACTATGTTGTCGGTTTGATCTGGCGTGACGTCCGAGTATCCACTTTGTTTGATTTCGTATTTCATTTCAAGTTGATAACTAGATGATATTGTAACTTGTTGTTCTTTGTTTGATTTCCTATTTTAAGTTGCAAGATGTTAACTTTGATAAATCATGCTTTAAGCGTTGTATTGGAAGTTCCAATGTTGGTTAAATTGCATCGATATGATAATTTGTATTTTGATGTTCAAATGTAGTTTAGGAATGATCCTATAGATTCACTTTGAACATGGATGTTAGGTGGCATGACTCACTCTTGTTGTTTTCGTATCTTGGATTTTAAGTTGAAGACTTTGAGAATCTATATCTTGTTGCTTTGTATAACATGTTTCCATGTTGTTTGAATTGCATGAACAATGTGATTATGCTAGAAATATTTTAAGGTAGCTTAGGATGCTTCTTGAGTCTCATTTTGACATAGACGTTAGGTGGCATAAACCCCTTTGATATGTTTCACCTTAAGGTGATAAAATTGTAAAATGTTAGGTCGATGCATGCTCATCTCCTATGAGTAGTTTTATGTTACTCACCCCTACGATATTGGGGCATATTTCAGGTACAGGACTCAAGACTTGAAGATTTCATTGCCTTGGATCGTTTGGTAGCTTTATGTATTAAACTTGTATTCTTTGATTCTACGTATGTAAAGTGTACATAAGTACACTCCTTTTAATGCATTTTACATGTATGACATGAGGCCAAGGGCCATTAACTTGAAAGGTTACAAGTATGTTTCCTCTAAAACTCAAGTATTGCCATTGTAGCTTATTTGTGAGAAATGGAGGCTTTGTATGCTAAAACTTGTTAATGGAATGTAAAGAGGCCTTAGGCCATGTTGGTACATCTATTTTATCATATTGCATGCACTTGCATACTCACTTTGGCAAACAACACCATCCTTGATGAAACAAAAACTCTTAGTAGCATTTTTATAGAGTTTTACCCTATTCTGTTCCAGGGGCATTTTGGGTATTCACAATGCATTTTTTTCATTTTTTCATAAGAATCACGTAGAAAACTCAATTTTGAGGGGGGTTTCTTCTTTGTGTTTTTCCATAAAATGCCATCTTGGCCCTCAAAAATCCATATTTGTCCAAAAAATCTTTGCTGCTAGGTTTTGCAGATTTTTAGTACAAATGTAATTGGTACTATATATCGACTTTTTTTTAAAAAGTGTGATGACCGATCCAAAACTTCCGGGGGTCTTGTGGGTGTATTTTAAGATTACATTTTCAATTTAGGCAATTTAAAAACCTCCCGAAGCCCTATTTCCTTTCCTTGGGCGGCAGCTCG